ATTGCCAAATACAATTGCCTACCTGAATAGGTCATTGGCTTTTTGTTTCTTTGTCTGATGAATAATGTGTCTACAGCATGACCACCCACCAGGGAATCAAGGAAGAAAACAGAATTTAAGAAATTCTTTATCTCCAACCCTTGGCAGAGGGCTGTGGTAGTTTAGGTGTGGAATTCACACCTTCCACGTGAGAGACTCAGGGTGAGTTCCTATCCAGTGCACTGCACACCTGCCCGTGGAGGCTGTTGTGCTGCTATGACAAGGAGTAGGTTTCTGTGGGGCTTCCAGTCTAAGTCAAACTAGGAAGCAAGGCCTTACCATCTACTTCTGAAAACCAGCCAATGACAAGTCTATGAACAATGGTCTGATCTGCAACCTGCCTTGGGATGGCACAGGGCCCTGGAGGCTGAAACATGTGGAAAACCAAGCTGCAGGTCACCAATACTAGACTTACAGCCTGGCGGCGCAAGCAGATCTGTCATTTCCTTAGATTTACGAAGTACCTTTCCTCAGACAATATAGTAAGATGATTTGTTTAAGACATCAGTCAGTATTTTCACCCACCCACCTTGCTCCCAGTATTTTGGACTGGATCCTTCCTTTTACCCAAACTGGGCAGGATGATTTCCTGCTTCAGGGACAGGATGTGGCAGCATAAAACAGAGAAACCAGAATGCCTTTCTTTGCTTCTGGATTTCAAAAGCACATCAGCTCCATGGGAGGTGGAGGCGGGGGTGAACTCATGGCACAGGAAGTAGATGGAGTGGCCATAAGACATGACACTCTCAAGCTGGAGGGAGTGTTCATATGGGTGCACATGTTCTGGTAATTTCCGAAGGCAGTGGTGGTCTTGTTTCCTCTTCCTTCTACCTAGCTGGGGTGGAGTGGAACCCTGCAGAGGTATATGGGAAGCAAGTGTCGAGGAGCCAGAGACTGATAACTCATTTCCTGAGTAGCAAGACTTCAAAGCAAAAAGGTCAAGACAGATGAGCTTATTGTATGTTGGGCTTTATGTGAAGTCCTTGACGCATATCAGTTCATCCAGTCCTCGTGACAACTCTTTGAGGAAAGTACTAACACCACCTCTGTTTTTGAGAAAAGGAATCAAAACAGAGAGAGCTTGGTGTTTACAGGCTTCCTGGCACACTGACATGGCCAGGGGAGAGGACGTGGTTGGGAGGAAGCCCAAGCACCTTAGGGTACTGAAGGAGTCTTGCAGACAGGAATGGGAGATCCCTCTGTTATGACCAGCTCAGCCTAACCAATGAGCTCATGAGTGTCTCAGTAACCCAGCATGATCCCAAACCAAGCCAGTTGCCACTGAGTCAACTGACGCATGGAGGCCCTCTGTGCGTCAGTGGAGCTAACTGCAGTTTCAGTGGCTGTGGTCTTTTGAAAACAGGCCACTCTCTCTTTTTCCGACACACCAGTGGATGGATTTGGATCACCACCCTCTCCATTGGTCACTGAGTGTTGAACCATTTGCCCTACCCAGAGACTTTCCAGAACGAATTGATGACACTAAAAATGAAGTGGCCTTCCACCCCAACAGCCTTCACCCTGTAAATCCCTCAGAACTTAAAGGCAATTCTTGAGGAAAGAGGTGGGAGGACATTCTGGATCGACTTAAGTTTTTACCATCCTGGGGCGATCAACTCAAAGCAGAAGCAGTTCAATTCATTTATGTTTGAGGTTTGGGATTCACACTCCTTTTGATACAAAATTTGGGGCAACAGTTTCATCTGAGAATCAGCTGCTGCTTTGACCTAGAACCTGTGAGAATCAGCTATGCTACAAGCTAGAAAGTGTGAGAATCAGCTATGCTATAAGCTAGAAACCAATGCTAAAGTCATCCTCTCTTCACATTAAACAAATGGAGGTCAAGACCAGGGGGTGTGTTCCCAGAGGAAGCCTGGCACTGTGATAGCACTGTGTGTCCCTGCTGTGAGCTGCTAATGTTGCCCTAATGGGTCCAATGCACTAATGGCTCATGTTGAGCAGTCTCCTTATTATCCCATAATTATATGAAAGCAACTTTCTCAATTTGAGCAGATTAATGACGATTGCTCCCCTAGATGAGATTAGGGTTTTGAAACTTTCCATTTTCTGACACAGCTCATGCAAATCTGACTTTTGTTTCTTCAGTGTGCTTAATAATTAGAAATGATTGCAAAATTAAGTCACTAATTCGCCTGACCCTGGAACTTCTGTGACTACCCTGAGTTTTCTGTAAATCTTCAGAGCAAATATTTCACATTCTGTGTTGTAATGAGTTCGTTGCTCTGTAAGGTAAATTACCTGAATGTTTTATTTTTTATAAAAGGCTTCAACTCCTCCTCCTCCTGGTAAGCAGGGATCACAGGGTCCATTTGCTACATAGCAAATATGCTTAGGAGGAGGAACTGTGGACTGAGTCAGACAGCCCTAAGTGCTACTTATAAAGTCTCATGGCCCCATCTTGCTCTAACCACAGCTGCAGTGACCAGTGCCAATCCAGTTTTGCCAAAGGAACGCACACACGTGTGGAGTTCAGCATGCACAGAAAAGCACTTGCACCCATGTGGCCACCTTGAGTTAACAGAGGCTGGAGCCCCTCAGTTCATCTCATCCCCTTCATCTCCAGAAGCAGACGGCTGAGATGCAAGTTGTAAGATGTCTCAGAGGCTGCTGGTGAGATGAAGGGCAGCCCCATAGCACAGACGTCAACTCGGTGACACTTCTTACGTGAGCTCCACCTGGTCCACCCCGCCATTTCCTCTTCCTCGCTGGAATCTTGTCCCCAGGAAACGCTCAACACTTAAGTCTCTTCCGCAGTCAGCTTTGAGGGAAATCTAGACTAAGAGGAGCTGTGTCATTGATTGGCTTATTTCTGGTTAGTTAGGTGATGTTTGCTCTTCGGCTACCAGTGAGACACTTCCCCTAGACACCTCCCTTCCAGCTACACAACTTTCTCACAGGTCAAGCGAGAATGATAAAAGATTTATTCCACAAATATATTTCGAGCACCATCCATATGCAGGCACTCTTCTAAGGAAAGGGAGCCCATGAGGCACAACACAAGGTCAGTGGTTTGAACCTACCCAGAGACTCCAAAGGAGAGAAGACCTGGTGATCTGTTCCCATGGAATCAAGAAAAATGCTCTCTGGGGAAGTTTTTCTCTGTCCTATAGGAAACCTGAGTCTGAGTGGACTCCATGGTACAACAGAAAAAGCAAAACTGTACATGTGTCTAAGAAAATATAAAGGAAGCATATTGTTATTGTTGCTGTTTGCTAGGTGCCCTTAGATCCAGTGACTGATGGTGTGTTAGTCCAGGTAGACTAGAGAAACAAATCCATAGAAACTCATGTGTACAAGAGAAAGTTTTAGAAAAAGGGTAATTGTACT